TTCTGGAAGCCATGGACACTATTACTTTAGCCACCAGATAAGAATTAAGAGGTTTGCTGTCCTTTGGACTTGGTGTTCTGCAGGCAGACTTCACAGGAGTTGACCAGTGATGACAGGCTCTGTTTCAAGGGAAGAACGAGTCTAGTGTTTGTGGCAGTGGGTCATACCTCTCTTTCATTCCCCAGTTATTTCCTTCTCCCCAGTTCCTTGTTTGTCAGTGAGAAGTCTGCCCCTTTTCTAACATCAGTTAACAAACTTGAGGACTCAGGGCCAGCTGAAGATAGTTACATCTCATGGTATATGTGCTGGGTAGTGCTTATCAATGGAGCATACTTGGCTTCTGCCTGGTGTGCAAATTTCACATTAACAGCAGGAAGAACTGTGCAAGGCACAATTACCCGGCCAAAACATACACAATGCTGTAGGAGGACATCTAAACTTCAGCTCCTGGTGTTGAATGCCACCTAGATCTAAAATGGATCCCTTCTACTAAGGTTCTCTTGGTCACAATTTCTGTTTGTCATCTTCAAGTTGATTAAAGTTCTGAATCTTTCCCTTCCCTGTGCCCTAGTCTATGTTTCTTATGCTGGAAAAGCTATTTCCTGTATGAAGGACTTCGTTGCCTTATGGGACCTAAAATCATGTACCTTCCGGTAACACTGCCCCCTCCTTTACTGGTAACTAGTGACTTACTTTCTGTAAGCATCACCAAAAGTATTCCTTCTGCTTTTGGTTGCTGTGTACTTTTTCCAGCCTTACTCGTAGGTCTTTGTGGCTTACTTAGTTTTACTTTATGCTAATACAGCTGTGTTTTCCCAGTTGAGATACCTAGAGAGACTTATTTCAAGTTGCTTTCAAATATGCTTCCTGACTTCCATCCTAGGCATTGTTGCCTCTCTCCCCAAGTCTTACCTGAAATGCTGCCATAGCCAACACCATTTTTTCCCCATCCGTGATGCCAAAGGCGGCTTTATTTTTTGTGTTGTCAGGACCCGATACTTGGACTACCCTGTAGGTATTACCACAAAAAGCTGGAAAGGCGTAACTGGTTTTGTGCAGCGACTTTCCAGTGGGTAGCAGTTTAAGGCATCATAGCCAAACAGTTTGTGGAGACACTCTCTTGTTCTCTGAACACATTCCCCTCGTGACACCATAAACGAAAGCTTGAGTTCTCACAAATGTCCACATTCCTGGTAGCTGGAGTGTTTTTACGTGCGTCTCATCATCTTTGAGGTATTCATAGCTGAGAGGTCAGTAGTGTATCTGAGGGTTCTGCAAAAGACTGACTCGTCTGTAAGCATACAGAACATATTATCCTATGATCTTAAGGGTCTTTTCCAACCCAAATGATTCTGTGATTCTATTCCTTGTGACCCATTGTGTGAACATACCAATGACTGTCTTTTAAAGACGGCAAGACTAGTTGCGTGGCAGTAATTAAAATTCTTTAAGAAATCCACAGATCTGTCCCCTTCCCGTCCTTTCTGCTTTTTCTGAAGTTCCTTTTCACCAAGGTTGGCAGAAAACAATGTCACAGAGTCAGATGCACTGTCTCTGAAACTCCTGCAGTAATCATGGGGGAGGCTGTCCTGCAGTTGTACCACTGTGAAGGCAAAAATGTCACACGCAGCAAGCTGTATCTGTAAACACTGTAACGTATCCCAACATGTTTGAAGTATCCAACTTGGAGAACTTCTGTTGCTGCTTTAGTTACTGGTAACCTGTTTTGTGCTCGAAAAGATGAAACAGTGTTTAATCAAAAACATTGGAACTTATTGAATGCACCAATACATCTCAAAGGATGACAAAGGAAACCTCCTGTTTATTCCATGCAGTGTTAGCATAAAAGCTGAAATATGTTTTCCCCAAGTGTGGAAACCTCTCCTCTTGTTTTAATATCTGCCATTTATGCTGTAATTGGAGTATCTAATAAAATGTAATACTTCTAACCAAAATGTGAATTTAACATATTTAGTATCTCTAACTTCTAACAGCAAAACTAGATGTGCCCCCGAAACCTAAAAGAGCTCCCAAGGCCAAGAAGGTGGAAACTGTAAACTCTGACTCGGATTC